GTCGGCTGGACTCACTGTCTATCGCAATGCTCAAAATATATGTTCGTCGGGAGGGTCAGAGACACGTGAAAATGAAGTAGGGAGGATAGAAACAGAAAGAAAGGTGTCGTGGGCAGAGCACTATGGGAAGAGTGGGATTGTGGGAGATATAGGCATGGGACGGAAAATAGAGGGTAAAAAATGGATGCGAGTATTTGTGGCTACTTGGACAGGCTTTCTGCCCTATTTTCAGTATTTCCTCTGCTCAGCTCATAGGTTCAATTTGGAAGACTTGAGTTCTGCCTCATTTTCGCCACCTCCTTGCTTCCTTCGCGCCAGTTTCACTGCCCAACTTCTGCTGGCTGTCAGTGTCCAGCCGCGTGAAAGGCTTCTTGTGCAAATGTAATCTTCCTCCACGACTCCCTGCGAGCATGGAATTACCGCATTGCATTGCCCTTTGGCACAAATGAAACCAACTTTGGACTCCAGTGTGCTATTGTGCAAGGAAGAGTTGAATGCGTTCGTGAAGAAGCCCTAGATTTAGGGTACCTAAACGAGGCACCACATGCACTCAACTTGATTTGACCCTCGCCATTTTCCCAGTGATTTTACAACACAACTTCAGGCGTCCCCGAGAGCCTGGTTTTTCACCTTCTTGTTCCTGCGTCTCACTTTAACCCAGTGAGTCTCAGCTGACCTTCGTCGTCCGTTCAGGCAAAGGTAACTGCAAATGGTCGACGATTGGGTCATCAAGACCATGTACGCCACTAAACGACGTCGCAAGAATCCCAAAAGGTGAGTAAGTGTCACAGACTCCTGGTCTATCTTAGCCCAAATCATACACATTGAGCTGGGGAAAGAGACTGCGCCAATTGCCTGAATTCACAACTTTAGCGGTGGCAGTTTCTTACTGTCTACCTGTTGTAGTTCCAGCTGCAACAAGGTAGAGTCCTATCATTATGAAGGGTTTCGCATTTGAAATTCCCTGTACCATGTTTCCCCAAAGAAAGAGTTCATTCGTTCTTGTCTGCGTTGGTCGCATAAGACGTTAAATGATTTATGCCTGAAGTTTCCCACGATGATATGAGCAGGCCTCAGAATGTCGGCGAAGTTCATTTGGCATTGCTCCCTCCTCTTGGTAACCTCAGCACCCATAATGGGACTCGAAACCAGGCAGCGCAGTGCCTTCTGCTTTCTGCATGCCTACACTACGCTATATTGTCACGAGCGTCAGGGGGTAATACGGTAGAGGTAAATTTAAAGCAATGCCACCGCTTACCCTACCACATGTCTAGTAGAAATGAAGCTTAAACAAACTTGAATTTAATTTTTCGTTTTAGAAGCAGGTTTTTGAGACAACCAGTAGAGCACATATATTATAATTGAGTAGGGTATCAAAACTACCAGTAAATCAGTGTAATGAGATGTATTCACCCTATTTCGTGTAAGGTGATGAAGGACTGG